ACCCCAACTACTACTAAGCTACCCTCTACAGTTAACCCATCTTGATTCGCAAGTGATACGGTTGAAATTTAATTATAAGTAAAAGATAACTTTCATTTCTAATTTCGCATGAAATTAAAATGAAATAATTGATGTCCTTTCGTTGTAAAATTATTGACAACTTTGAATAAATTGTATGAATTTTAAGAGTTTGTTTTCTTCAACCAAGTACGTACGTGTATTTTTTTTATTCTGCGCCTCGTTACACCGAGATATTTGAACAATATTATCTAACGAATCTATTTTTCCTTTAATTACAAGTATTTTACATAATAATGTGACGATTTTTATGAGGTTTACAACGTGGAGTCCATTCCAATGAAAGATTAAGCATTATCTTTACAAGTTTATTACTTTGCGTAAAATCTCGCCATTAAGAGAATAAAGTGCGGTGATGTAATTTTAACTTAGATTTTACAGGAAATAACATAAACATGCAAAATGCTATGTTGAAATTTATACAGATATATACATAAAAAGTAGGGGCTGTCCGAAACACCTACCATATTACAAAAAAATATTACATAATCTTTTTCCGTCCAGCGTACATAACTTATATTTTAGCTACACTTTAAAGAAAACGACTAAGAAAACAATTACTGAAACCAAAATACAATAAATTTTCGCAATAAATTGTGAATAAAAATATTGCACACAGATTAATTAAAAGTATTGCATTTTAATTGTAATAATGCCACCATATGTCTAATTTAAAAAATCTCGGTAATAAAAATAAACGTATTTTTACTTGAACATAATGATTTTTAATTTGTATTGCAGTTTCAGTATTATTGCTAACTTATTAGGTATGTTATTAAATTGGAATAACTAAAAAAAACCACAGACGAATTGAGTACCTCCTTCATTTGGGAAGTCGGTCAAAAACATGAATAAACTGAAAAATACTGTCTTTGGTATCGCAAATAAAATTGAGCTTTATAATGAAGGTTTAGTTGTCATTTGAACGATTTTTTTTATTAAAGAATAAGCATAGAAAGTGCATAAAGTTTAATTTTCGATAAAAAAAGTATGTTTTCTAAGTTAAATAATTTAAACTTCAGAGAAGCATTCAAATTCATAAACATCTTATAATATTTTACACACGCAAATTCCAGCAGATTTTATTATATTATTTATTCAATATCACTATGTTATATTAATTTATATTAAACATCAATAAGTGCGTTTTATATAGACATAGTTAATTCGTAAGAAGTCTTTTAATAAAAAGTTGGTATACATACAATATTTTGCAATTAAAATTACATACATCCAGACAGTATATACATTTACATTACAAATAAACGCGGTATAAAGTTAAACTTAGTAATAAACTGAGTATAAGCAAATATGAGTAAATTCTAAGTTCTACTTTCTACCGCGTTTATTTGTAATGCAGTTCAAGTCTAGAATAAGCATAAAATACGAGTCTGAATAAACATATTCATATTTAAAAGTAATTTAGCAATATTAGTTAAAACATATTTAATTTTACAAATATGAATACCACATTTATTACATAAGCACTTTGTATAAATCTACACTGCCACCCTTAGTGACCATTTAACGACTCTGAGTGCGGCAATACCAGAACGTATTACAAAGCTTATCAATTTATTATAAATATTTACAGCAGTATATACAAAAGAAGCATATTTGATAAACTTCGTTACATCGCGTCAGACCAGCCTTAGTTATTTGTTCTTTTATACATAAGCATTCTAAACATATATTGTATGTTTCCACTATTTAGAAACACGTACAAAAACATTACTGCTATCTTTATTTTGTCAAAGAATATAAGAGAAGAAATGTTCTTTAGTTAACTTACACTCTATACATATGTAACACATCAAAATTTTACATATGTTTGAAGCAGCATTTTCTTTGCAATTCAAATATAACTTCAACACTAAGTCATCCATATAAACTTAATTAAAATAAATGCACACACTTCCACTGTTTTCACAGATAATTGGTGTCTCTCAATTATATATTGTTCCAATATAGTTCATTCCAAATAAACATATAGCTCCCCTTCTATGCAGAGAAGCGTTGCGTTTCATCATGAGCACGCCGCTTTGGCCGCCTTCACAGCTGCAAATTAAACATAAATTGATATTTATTTAAAACTAGCTGTTGCCCCCGATGGTGCGTAGAAAACATACGAATTATATAAATAACAAAAAGCTACGTATCCCTCGGGAACCGGACATTTCTCGGGAATGAACCTTATCCTATGTGCCATCCAGACTTTGTTTTATATCTGTGCCAAATTTCAATAAGATATGTTGAACCGTTGCAGAATGATCGAGTAAACATTAAAAAAATAATTAATGAATCCCACGGGAACCGTAACTATTCCCGGGATAAAAAGTAGTACTATGTGTTCTTCCTGACTATGCTGTAAACCTTTGCCAAATTTCATGGAGATCCGTTCAGCGGTTTAGGCTACAAACACTAACAACTATCCATCCATAGTAACTTTCGCATTTATAATATTAATATGATATATGATATATTTGAAAATCTTTGTGCCTTATACTTAATACGAATGCCACCAAGTTCAGCTATTTGAATTAAAAAAAAATACACAAATGTAGTCTATGTATTCTTGCAGATTGTCTACATCTATGCCAAATTTAGTTGTTTAGGCTACATTCATCCATCCATCAAAACTTTTGCATT